GGATATAAATCCTGAGAGCTCAATGTAATAAACAGAGCAAGTAATAATTAATTAAAATTCAGAGACTTCAGAAAGCCATGGAAACACAACTTCCGCTAATCTTGTTTTTGATTTTGTTTTTCAGTTGATATCTGGAAGAATTTTTGAATCCATTCATTGTTTTGAAACCACAAGGTCTGACAAAGCAAAATCAAATTTTATCGGTCTCAAGAAATAAAATGTTTTCAAAGTCTTTGATTTGTTAATTTATATTATATATATATATATATATATATATATATATATATATATGAAAATTGAATATCTGTTCCAAGTCACAGTTTTTAACTAAAGAAGTTAAAATTTGGCAAGATGATGGTCACAGGTTATGTAGGTTTTGCTAATTGTGCATGTCAATGGGTCAAAATGCTTTCATAGATTTTCAAGAAAAGTAATTCTAACTTTTTTGGGACGTTAATACATAAAAATTGATGAGAATCATTATATATATATATATATATATATATATATATATATATATATATGAGTGTGTGACAAGGGTATGTGTGTGTATACATGATATATTTATGTGTATGTCCATGTGTGTATACATATATATTTATATATTATGTGTATGTGTGTGTGTATATATATATATATATATATATATATATATATATATATATGTAAAATGTTTATTGCATATATATATATATATATGCAATAAATGAACGGTCTGTGCATTGACACTGCCACTTGGAAAGAAAATTCACTACAGAATTCCAACATTGAATACAGTAACCAATTGCATGTGTATGCACACAAAGGATGCGCATATATGCCCAGTCCCACACTGTTCATATATGTTAATGTTTGTGTGAGCTGCAACTTTCATGTATGCATGTCTGTGTGCGTATGAGTGGGCGTTCCAATGAAAATTTTTCCTCCCACTACCATAAAATGCTGATATATGCAAACATAAATCCAAAATTTCAAAAATTAATCAGATTGTCTGATGATCGTAAATAGCATGTAACCTAGGGTCACAAACTCACATCAATCCAACTATATATATATATATATATATATAGTAATAGTAGTAAGCATGTGTTTATCTCATGAAATAAAGATAACACCCTGTTTAGCAAAAATTCAGTTCTTTGGTGGTGAGGCTGGAGTGACCTGAGCAGAGTGCAGGCCTGAGAAATGGTTGATGTGCTGAGGTGCCCAGACTACATGGCCCCACTCTTGTCCGTACCAACAAGATCCAAAAGGAACACCGAGCATTACATTTAGGGACAGCATGTTTGCAAGATCCAAAAGGAACACCGAGCATTACATTTGGGGACAGCATGTTTGCAAGATCCAAAAGGAACACCAAGCATTACATTTGGGGACAGCATGTTTGCAAGATTGGCATTCTGAACTCAAAGAAAGATGATATGTTTTGCTGAAGCTCCAAAAAATTAATGCATTTTAAGTTTAACTGAAAAACGTAAATATCGTTTAAAAGTAATAGAGTAATTTAATAAAATTCACAATTATTATTTATTTTACTTCATTTATTATATATATTAGGATTAGGATTTTTCTGTATTCGTATTTATTTGTTTTTGTACAACTTAAAAATCATTTATTATATAATTATATATATAATAATAATAGCTGGCCACTCATATTTGAGGATAACTGTCTACTAGGTTGGCTAACCAACCCCTATTACAGATGCTCACTCTGCCACATTTGTGTTTGCACAACACCCACAGAGTCCACCTGTGGTTTATATGGCAACTATGTTGAGCAGACCTTAGTTACAGTTTCTGGGAAAGAGCATGTTTTCTAGCATGATCAACAATTTGTACAAAGCCAACATGCTCAAGCCCTCAGCCACAATGACTTGTAGCTTCATGCTAGCACAGCTATTGATGATCCACAAAAATTCTGTCTACCCAATTTTACTCACAAGGCTTGGGTTAACCCATGGTGGGGTTTTCAGGCACTTTCCAAAGGTGTTGCATGCTGGGATACACACTTATCTTTCAATACATGACTGAGGAGGCAGAATTTTTTCCCACATTAGGTTGCCATTTCTTTCTGTGGTAGACCAGTTGCCATCCAAGGCTATAGAACCCAATATGTCCTACTATTTACCTATAGCTGGGAGGAGGAGAAGAGGATTCATACCTTTCCTAAGTGTATTAGCACATAAATGAATGTAACGGATTCGACTGGAATTTGAACTCAGCTCTCCGATTCCGAGCCGCTATCCATTCAGTGAGTTATGTACCATGCGTGATATACGCTTGGGCAATCATGTATCTTTCAATACATGTCTGAGGAGGCAGATCTTTTTACCGCAATAGGTTGCCATTTCTTTCTGCGCTAGACCAGTTGCCATCCAAGGCTACAGAACCCAGTCTGTCCTACTATTTACCCATAGTTGGGGGGAGAAGAAGAGGATTCATATCTTTCCCAAGGATATTAGCACATAAGTGCCTGCAATGGATTTGACTGGAATTTGAACTCGGCTCTCCGATTCCTCAATCCGAGCTTGTAATTCACTACAGATTTATAAATACAAGTTTATTTATATATGGTTTCCATTACGGAATGAACAATGACGGTTCTTAATTTTATTTATTTTTTTTTTTTGGAGTAGGTGTTGATTGGTGACAGGTGTGTGTCCTATATGAAATTTGGCAAGTACCCCCACCTCTCTACTTATCTCTTCGTAGCCTGGTTGCTATTCAACCAGGGGTTGGCTTGATGTTGTGAAATTTGATTCCCTGACAGCTGTTTCACAAGTGCTGCCTTTAATCTTTTATAAACTTGTTGATAGTTGAACGTAAGCCAGTATACAGAATTTTTATATTTCAGGGTCTCATGTTTAAGGAGTCTTTTGCTGATCTGTTGGCTCTTTTTATTTCCCCAGATACCGATATGATTTGGAATGCAACACAGGATAATATCTTTATTTTTGGAAGTATGATTTACCTTGTTTATATATATATTAAATGAGGAGGGTGTTTAATTTGTGGTGAGATAATTACGGATTTAGCAGCAGAAAAGATTATGGATTTATTAAGTTGGTTGTTTGAAATGATTTATAGTGTTAAATCTATTGCCAAGACTTTTACAACTCATATGATTATCTCATCCTTAATTAAATAAAATATAATTTGCAGAATGCAGAATGTTATCATTTTATTTATTAAAAAAAAAAGGAAAAAGAAAAAAGAGACATTTCAAATACTTATAGATTTTTCAACTTGAATTTTAGAAATTTTAATAATGTTTTCCCAGAGAATTTTATTTTTCATTTCTGTTCAATAAAGAAGAAGACAAAAAAAGAGTTTTTTTCATTTAAAAGATTGAATAGCACTGATTGACACCTAAAGATTATTTTTGGATCCTAATCCAATTCATTGCCAGATTACTCAACAAAACAATATAATTTCTCTTGAGATAATCATGCCAGTCATTCCATAGCAATCATTGCTTTTACTACCCTTATTACCATCTAAAAGTTCTTCTTTGGATCACAATGCAATTCAAAATGACATCTACACATTAATTATTATTATTAATTATTTCTCATATATTTTTTATTTAACAATGTTAACAAAATCAATACTCACTGGGTTATAGATGTCATGAGTGACAATGAATAGAGGAGCTGTTTCTGTTGTCACTAATGGACAAATGAGATGTCTCTTTTCTCTATCATCATCTCATAGCAGTGACGAGTCATGGTCAAGATTTCTGATGACAGGAAATAGAGTTTTCTGAATTTGATTCATGCTTTTCCCAAAGTCAAATGCAATGCTGAAATTCCAATTCTGATCAAAATATTTAGTTTGACGATATTGTCTTTCTTTTTTCGTTTTCTTCCCTTGTTACTATCTACAATTTGTCTTGAATCACTGCCACGGAAAGAAAACCCAGGTCAATGAAATTTCTCATCGGATATCAGTTTTTCTCAAGTGATTTAAAAAAGATTCTTTTGAAATATTCACATATACCGTAGATATAATATAAAATGAAAAATATACAAAGTCAGCCATTTACAAATACAGTCCAAAAAAAAAAAATATTTGATTGAAACACTCAAAACAAGAATTAAGGACAAAGAAGGAAATAAAAGAAATTGTGAATGACCTTTATCCCTAAAGTCAAAGGTCACAAGCACTTCTGGGAGTTGAAAAATTGAACCAGCTTTCAAATTTTATGCAAAATATTTGTTTGTCTTTTTTTTTTTACAATTGTGTAAAAATTTCTTTATATAATTGTTATTCATTTATTTTTTTTAAATTTATTTTTAAATCTAAAATGATAAAATAACAGATTTATTTTTACCAGCTTTCATATCACAAGCAAAATTTTATAAAACTGAAATTAAATTGAATTGTCACCCCAAAAATGTTGTACACATCAAAATTTTTTTTTATTAATTCACTCTTTTCATGATTTGTTTCAAAGATAAGCATTTTTTTTGTTACTTTATCAAAGAAAATATCTTCTTAATTATTTTTATAAGCAAGTTTTGTGAGTTGACTTTTGCCATTCTGGATTTTTTGTCATTCTGAGGCATCCGTACTTTGTTTCATATGGAACTTATACATTTAAGTGGGCTTTCATCACCCATAATTAAGATAACTGGGTTCAATACCCACATGACATTTGACCTTACCTCACAGATAAGAAACAATCGGTTTTTTCACTATACAGGGTGTTTAAAAAAAATTGGTATCATTTTGTAATCTAATAACTTGGCCAGTTCTCATTAAAATGATCCCAAATTTAAACAGAATGTGTAGAAACATCTCAAAATTCTATGTTTTACATTTTTTTCTTTTCCAGTATAAAAATGCCATTCACTGGAAAAGAAAACGTGTTTTGTGTTAGAATATGCTCAGACACACACATTTTGAGATGAATATAACTAATCCAATAATAATATAGTTTGACTCACCAATTACCAATTCCAAGCCGTTATCCATTACACCACCTGCACATCCAAGCTTACAGAACCTGGTATTCCCAAGTGGTGACCCATCCAGGTACTGACCAACCTTGATGTTGCTTAACTTTTTTGATCATATGGGAACTGATGTTTTAATATGATATGGCCATAAACCCCAAATATAGAAATGCCATTCATTGGAAAAGAAAAGGCGTTATGTATATTAGAGTTTGCGCAAAACTGTCAAGCAAAACTGTGCAGTGTGCATTTGTGACAGCATTTGCTAAAAATGCACCAACTGCAATGCAGATTTGGACATGTCACAAAAAGTTCAAAGAGGAAACGCTGCTGTTTGGGGCAAAGGATCTGGACCACCCCCAATATCAGAAGAAATGGTCAAGTGGGTTCAGGAAACATTTTTACAAAGCCCCATGAAGTCCATAAGAAGAGCAAGTCTGGAAACACAGATTCTGGCAATGACAGTTCAGTGTTTCATGAGGAAACACTTGTGAATGATACGCTACAAGCTACAGTGTGTTCTGGCCTTAAAAACAAATGACAAGCAAAAGTGCAAACAATTGTGTCAATATGTAAGAGAAACATGAAGAAATCACGTTTGAAGAACATCTTGTTTTCAATGTTGATGCCACATTTCGTACAAATGGCACATATTGAAAACTTGCAAAATTGTTCATGAAATCCATATACCTTTGAATTAAATTTCAAATTTTGATGAGTAAATCTTATTTTACACTATTCATTGTCATATAAACAACATTTCATCCATCAGGATAGATAGTTCTAGTTCCACATGCCATGCCTTTTCTGGATATCTATTATTTAGTAACTCTACTCTCTAGGTTATTTTTTGTTCACCTCTGCTGTGGCTAGGTATTGAACTCACAACTCTTTGGGTCAAATCACTGGATTACTGCAACCAACACTTTTATCCATTGGGCCACTTGGGAAACATTGTGAATATGACAACAAAGATGAGGACAATGCAAATAGTGTAAATAATTACAATATCGCACCTCAGAAATATAGGCAGAAAGCCAGAGCGTACAACAGCCAAAACATTGTGAATATGACAATAAAAATGAGGACAATGATCTGAACAATGTAAATAGTGTAAATATTTACAATATTTAATCTCAGAAATATAGACAGAATCTGAAGAAGGCTGGAGTGTACAACGACCGAAACATTGTGAATATGAGGACAAATGTAAATAGTGTAAATAGTTACAATACCTCATCTCAAAAATATAGACAGATCCTGAAGAAGGCCAGAGCATACAATGGCTGAAATATTGTGAATATAACAATAAAGATGAGGACAATTTTCCAAACAATGTAAATATCGTAAATCGTTACAATACTTCATCTCAGAAATATAGACAAAGCTTATTTTGCTCAGCAATACACCTGTTTAGTTTCATTTGCCTAGACTATGCAGATACTTAGATATTCACATTTCAAATATCAAATTTTTTGAAACACCCTGTATTTTAAGTAAAAAGTAATTAAAGGAAATTTAGTGACGTAATTATTAATTTGAATTCTTTCATTAAATCCTATTTTGTCTGTGATGGTTAATTTATTTTGGGTAGATTTTTAATTGAGTTTATACATTTGTTGGTAAATATTAATCATGTCATAATCAAAACTGTCATTAATTCTGTCATAATCAAAACTGATATTAATCACGTCATAATCAAAACTGATATTAATTACCTCATAATCAAAACTGATATTAATTACATCATAATCAAAACTGATATTAATCACGTCATAATCAAAACTGATATTAATCACGTCATAATCAAAACTGATATTAATTACCTCATAATCAAAACTGATATTAATCACATCATAATCAAAACTGATATTAATTATGTCGTAATCAAAACTGATATTAATTATGTCATAATCAAAACTGATATTAATATACGCCATAATTTTTTTTTTGATATTAATCACGTCATAATCAAAGCTGATATTAATCACATCATAATCAAAACTGATATTAATCACGTCATAATCAAAGCTGATATTAATTGTCATAATCAAAACAGATGTTAATTGTCATAATCAAAACTGATATTAATCATGTCATAAAACTGATATTAAAACTCTATAAGCCTAACTTATTTTATATATTCATGGAATTAAAACCAACATCAAAACTTCAATGAATATTGAAATTTTAATAAATTTAAAACTTACATTAAAAAAAAAACAAGTCCTTGATCATGGTTACAATTTGCCATGCTTTTGGTTCCAATCTATTTGAGATGAGCAATATTTCAATTATACCATCTTTTGAGACAAGGGTATAATTTTCATTTTGCTCATCTCAACTAGGTAAAAAGTGAAAGCATTACAAATTTACAAATCTTATGCAGACATATTTAGGATGTTGTATACTCTTTGTTGCCAAATAGAAGGGGAGGGACATTTATTTTTTATCAATTTCTAGGTCTGCTGCTAGGGAAGTTGGTTCACTGTATCATGCTAGACAATTTTTCTTACCATAATCAATTTTAGATTTTTTAT